ACTAATGTTGTTTGTGAGGCGCAAACACAGATCACATTGCCTTAGCTGTCAGTTATGGCATGCAATGGCATGCAATTACTGTGATTGGCTCCCAAGGCTATTACACAGCCTGAGATACAATCTGACATTACTGATATTTTGTCTCACTAATGAGACTGCCAGTAATAACCCAGTATCTGCTGATCTATGTGTTAGCAGGTCACAAAGACCCTACAGGAGCAACTGAGGCATTGGAAAACCATGTCAGTCTGCAAACCAGTTTCTGGTTTCTAATGCATGAGTCATCGAGAAATAGCTTGTACATGCAGCAAGTGTGGGATGTCCCTTAAACCCTCAATTTTGCCCTAGAGCACAGTGCATCGACTTTAATTTAATGTGATATAGACAGACAATAATTCTCATTTCCTATGAGAAATTTAAAAACAACATTTTCACAGTTCTTGTTATGATACAATATCACAACAATATATACAAAATGAGTGGATAAAAATAAATTTACTTCATATGTCTAGGATTTCATTTTTTTTTTTTTTTTTGGTAATACCACATACACTGGTAGAGTTTAAATGCTTTCAAATTGAGTATGTTAGGTCTCTAAATTTAACAGAAGTCACAGCGTTAGTAAGTAACCCCACAGATGCCTAAAAATTACCTATGGGTATCTCAAACAGTATATTTTTATTATCATCAGGAGGTCATTTTTTTCAACAATTTAAACCAACAAGGTTATTCACAAAAAATCAGAATGTCCCCCAGACAGCAAACTCGGGACATTGTTCCTGGAATTCTGGAACAGGCCTGAATTTGGTGCAGATTTCAGCAAGCATAAATGCCTCCAGATGACTAAGTGCTTCAAATCTGGGTTCATACACGAGACAGGATTTTAGAAAAATCTAAGCTATTTCCTCTCTGGTCAAATAGTTAAAAAAAAACTTCAGCAGTGCCAGGGTTAATTATGTGGCTTGGAAGCGAGCTGCAATAAAACAATAAATAAATACATATAATACGTATAAATAAATAATACAATAAAATAAATAAAAAGCCTATGGGGGTCAATATGACCACCATATTACTGTAAGGAAGGTTTTAAAACATGTGGCTGGTGGGTGCATATCTACTAAACATTTAAAACTAGCAACCGATTCACTTCTCTTGAGACTGGCAAAGTGCGGGTAAATGCCTTGCAATAGTTGACATAGCCCGCTCAGTCTGCGTGGAGCACTCCATGAGTCAAGATGGATTAATCACATTTTTTTTAAATCTTTTTATTTTGAGCAGTTGGATCCCAGGATAATGGATTTTTATTCAGCCTTTCTGGGGCTGCAAATAAGAAGAATAAGAAGAAAGAAGACTTCTGCTTAGTGATGTCCCGAACGGTTCGCTGGCGAATAGTTCCCGGCGAACATCGCTTGTTCGCCACGGATGGCGAACATATGTGCTGTTCGGTCCGCCCCCTATTCATCATCATTGAGTAAACTTTGACCCTGTACCTCACAGTCAGCAGACACGTTCCAGCCAATCAGCAGCAGATCTTCCCTCCCAGACCCTCCCACCTCCTGGACAGCATCCATTTTACATTCATTGTGAAGCTGCATTCTTAGTGAGAGGAGGGACAGTGTAGCTGCTGCTGATTTGATAGGGAAATTGATAGCTAGGCTAGTGTATTCAGTGCCCACTACAGTCCTGAAGGACTCATCTGATCTCCAAAACTTTTTGGACTATAATATAATAGCAGTCAGTTTCCTTCAGGAGTGTGCATTTCAGGGCCTGCCCAGTGCCACTACTAACTCACTGGTGTCCCAATAGCTTGCATTTAAAAAAAAAAAAAACTTTTTTGACTGTAATATAATAGCAGTTAGTTTCCTTCACACGTGTGCGTTTCAGGGCCTGCCAGGGCACAGTGTCACACCAGTGCAATTCATATCTGGTAGTGTACCAGATATACAGTGTACATTTTAAAAATAAAAATAAAATTTTGACTGTAATAGATTGAATAGCAGTTAGTTGTCTGCAAGTGTGTGTGTCAGGCCTACAGCGTGTACTCTGCCAACTTCTGCCACTGCATAGTGCCACTCATATCTGTTGTCACAGTAGCTTGCACGGATAGTACCACTAATCGAAAAAAAAATGACAGGCAGAGACTTGCCACCCGTTAAGTGTGGTCCCTGTAGTTTTATTGGACATTTTGGTTAATTTTATTCTATGTTTTTATACATATGTTTTTAATTTATTTTATGTTTACTTTTTATTATATTTACAATATCCTTTTGTTACTTATTAACCCTAGGAATTCCTGGTACCTGCAATATCCTAAGGTGGGGATTATACCACCCAGGCTTATAACAGTAGAGCAAGTCCTGCTCTAGCAATTGTAAGTATAATATTTTTTTGTATTTCTGGTTTGTGCATACTTACTTCACATGTGGAGATTCTTTATGCTTCTGTTTTCATATTGGCATGTAACGGGTCACCTGGCACCCCAACTGGGTACGTCCATTGAAGGATGCTCCTAGCACTTCCTGAGGGCTCCAAGCACTCCACCAGAGACCATAACCACCACAGACCCCACAAACCGCCGCAGCTTGGTTGGGGTCTCGGCGTCTCCTACCCACCCTGGACCTACAACAAGGTTTCAGGTTCCAGTGGATGAACCTCTCTTTCCCCAGAGAGTGAAGCAGGAACAAGCTCTTAAAAGAGCTTAGTGATTATCCAAGGGAGTATGAAGATCATAGCAATCCCTTGTAGCTGTTTCCCCCAATAAGAGACAGGACTCTAAATTGAAGGTGAAGTAGAACTGAAGGTTTAATGATACAGCTGCTTCTTTTATACACATTTCCCCACAAGGTTACTACCCACGTGGACCTTGTGGAACACAGGACACAAAGTTACAACAGCCAATCAACACAGTACAGTACAGTCAGACACTCCCAGCTAATGCACACAAACCCTTTCCCTCTGTCTGTGATACAATTACCAAACACAATGGACTAACTTAATTACCACAGGCAGAAAATATCCAGTTTTACCCAAAGTCTAGACACACCCCAAAACAACAACATATCCCCATACATCCCTGGATAGCCCTGATCTGGATGAACAACATATCCAAAAATCACCCAGATCAGAGCAGGGGTTCCAAAGTTTAATGTAAGTCACATTTGACCGACTGCAAGCATGGCTTTCATGCCCCGAAACAGTTCCACAGATTTAGGCTTTGTGGCCGGTCTATCTCCTCCTCTATCCTGGAGATAATTGGCTTAAGTGGCTGTGATAACTCAATTATCTCCAGTAACAGGAAATATATGTTACTGTTACAAAAAACACATAAAAATACATAACAAAAAATATATATATGAATACCGCACTCAATGTTGTAAAATAATCAACCGTAGATAAAGAAGTACTGTAATTGAATTTATTATTCTTTGATGTCTAGGTATATAACTTAATATGTGAGATTATAATTTAATCAAATGAATATATTACATCATATAGTCAATCGCTATTTACAAAAATAACCTCCATAGGTGTTATATAGATAAATAATTGATATATAAACACAGTTGTGAGGATTCCTGTTTGCAAATCTAAGGAAAACCTATCCATATGGATAATAGTTGAATCTGTGGTGTTCTATGTACATAGAAAAAAGAAAAAAGAAAAAATGAATAAAAAATGAAAAAATGAAAGAAATATGAAAAACAATGAAAAAATTGAAAAAATATAAAAGAGAAAAAAATTTAAAATAAAAAGCGTACAGATAGTAAGTGTCCTGATGTACAATAGTCCAGAGAATAGTGCACTTTATATAATAAATAGGTGGATCTCACCAAGTTGAATATCCAGATAGATTGTAGCCTTAGTAGCAACTGGAAAAAATGAAGACTCTGTGAAGTGTCTATCGGAGGATTTTAAACTGCTGAATTCCTGCTGTGCGCTGAAAAAAAGGACTCAATAAAGGTGTCAGATGTGGTCCTCATATGTCTCCCTCAAAGTTGTTGCTGCTGTGTATCAAATCGGAGTTGTCCGCAATGAAAGTATCGTCACAGTACATGGTAAAAATACATAACTCCTATAATACAATGTTTAACCTATATGTCCAACATATCCCCAGATAGCTTGGATCTGAGCCCTCAATATGTCCAATGTTAAAAGTGCCCTATAGTACAAGGAAGGGTGAGGTCAGAAAACAGCAAGGGTTGATGGGAGATTGAGGAGGGACAAAGCAGCCAGTTTAAACTGGTCTGGCAGTGTCCTTGGGACAAAGCCTTGCTGGAGAACAATAGGACAGGAAAAAGGGGAAGGGGAAGAGGCACATTTCCCCATGGATTCAAAGGGGCAGAAAAAGTGTCCCATAAGCCAATAAGCCCAAATAGCGTTTTTAAATGGCAATACCTCCCAGGGCCATAGTCACAGGGCAAGAGGCTGACAAGCAGGTCTCTCCAAAAGCTCATGGCAAACTCCCTAAAAAAGGGGAGTTTGTCACATTGGTATCAGTGGCGTACATACCGCAGTCACAGGGGTCACAGCTGCGACCGGGCTAGTCACTCCAGGGGGCCCAGCCACTCTACGACTGGGTACCAGCTGCCTCCATCCTTTGTGGCCCTGGCCCGCGCGTCAAAGCGCCGGGACCATATGTTAATGGGTCCATCGGGTGGCCCATGCTGTCAGGGACCTATGAAGACGGATTGTCATGAGGCCCGGTCAGCACCTGGCGTTTTAACAGCACGCCCAGCGCTGACCGGGCCCTCTGTGACTGCACGTCACTCCTCCCAGCTATCTGACAGAGCCACGCGGGAGGAAGGAGGAGGGAGTCAGAGTGGGTACTCTGACTCCCATCAGGCTGAGCCCACACCGGACCCCAGGGAAGTCACCCTCCTGCAAAAGGTAAGAAACAGGACGGTGACTTAAACATTATGTATGTCTGTGTGTGTGTCTGTCTGTATGTATGTGTCTGCATGTGTGTGTGTCTGTATGTATGTGTCTGTGTGTGTCTCTATATGTATGTATGTGGCTGTGTGTGTTTGTCTCTGTATGTATGTGTCTGTATGACAGACACATACATACAGAGACACACATACATACAGAGACAGACACATACACACAGACAGACATGCATGGAGACGTGCACACACATACACACACACACACATACACACTGTCTGTGTGTCTCTGTATGTATCTGTGTGTGTGTGTCTGTATGTATGTGTCTGTATGTATGTGTCTGTGTGTATGTCTGTCGGGGGTGTGTGTGTATGTGTGTGTCTGTCTGTATGTGTCTGTATGTATGTCTGTGTGTGTATGTATGTATCTGTCTGTGTGAATGCGTGTGTGCCTATGTATGTGTCTGTGTGTATGTGTGTGTACCTCTATGTATGTCTGTGTCTGTATAGAAACATAGAATGTGACGGCAGATAAGAACCATTCGGCCCATCTAGTCTGCCCAATTTTCTAAATACTTTCATTAGTCCTAGTCTTATCTTATAGTTAGGATAGCCTTATGGCTATGTATGTATGTGTCGGGGGGAGAGAGCACGGATCGAGGGGTGGGGGGCCCACGGATCAGTTTTACACCGGGGCCCCATATATTGTGTGTACGCCACTGATTGGCATTAACCAATTTGGAAAACCCCTGCTATCTGGATCTGCATATATTTTAGACAGGGATCATCCTGTCCATGTGCAATTCAGCAGAGCTCTGAGCTAGCTCTGTAAAATGTGAGTGAATACTCTAAGACAATTTTATTGGACTTTTTTCATAAAATATTATGCTATATATTACCTCTGTTTGTGGTGATCAATTCCTTGTAGCAGAAGTGAATTGTTTGTTTTTGTATTCATGCTTATTTTGTTTGTAGACATTAAGCAGAGAAATGCTGTATATTTGATACTTGAGGAACGTGATTTTTTTTTCTATCTTTTTACTTTTGTAAGAGTAAAAGAAGTGGGTGTTTTCACAGTAAATATGATTAAATTGCACTTTTATATTTATGCATTGTATACTGAATGTATACATAACAAAACAGATTATATATAATTTGTATGCTTATCAATGTTATTTATTAATGTGAGAATTCAAATTGAATTTAAAATTTAAGTCCAAAGTAGTGAATTGAAAGCATAAAACATAACTGAATTAAATAATTTTTCTAGTTCAACTATTTTTAACTTCCATTTGAAATTCGCTTAGAATTTGCTTTGAATGCTCACTTTAGTAAATAACCCTGTATATGAGTATGCATGTGTCCAATGCACAATAAGTACTAAAATCATGCTGTTCAAAGTGGGTTATTTCAGAACAAAAATATATTTTTATATATGCCAATGCAGACCCTGAGGCATTGCAAATGGGTTTCCTTTACACTCTCCCTATTTCTATTCCTAAGAGATGCACATGAATGTGCCTCTGATGCAATTCAGAGGCACATTCAGAGCTTAGTTAATAACAACCCAAATTAACTGACAAAGAACCTGCTTAATAACGTAGCAATAGATTGTCACCTATTTACTTGTGATAACTAGGTCAGGATATTACTGTCATCCCTGGATGCTCATATAACTGTGATAAAAAAAGTGTTGTAGAACATACTTCAAGAAAATTAGTCATGTGGGAAAGATGTTGGATATTGATTGAGGTTTTTTGTTTTGTTTTTTACAGTCCATATATATGTTCTATATAAATGACAGGCAAAACAGTATAATTTGTTCATGCCTCCTAACGGTCATACTTTTCTGTCCCACTGTCCTGACTTTATCCTGCATCATTAGATGCTTTTGCGCTGTGCAGTGAGAACTAGGACCATGCATGGAGCACTTCAGCAGAACTCCCTGAATTGTACTCTATGCAGAGGGTTGGCATGGTTGATGCCAGGCTCACACACCCCCTTCAGTGTCTATAGACCAAACAACATTTTAACTCACACAACATTTTTATTAAGGCTAGACAAAAAAAAAAACTGTGGGAGTTAAAATGCTGCTGGGTCAACATTCTGATGGTATAAATCCATGCTGAAATGTATCTAGAGTTGTGATTTTTTTTTTTTATTCCTACTTTGCCTATGTCAGTGTTTTGTAGTGATCATAGTGCTTGGAGTCTATATGTGCAGCGTGTACAGAGTTAAAGCATAATTCTGCTGAATGTGACCACCTCTAGGCAGCCTGGAAAAAAATTGCCAATGTATGTTAGTGACAGGCAACCACTGGAGGCAAGCAGGAATGGCCTTAGGCCTTAAGGCACGCTTTGCAAAACATCTTTACAGCAACCCTCTCTGGTCACAACCCCTTATCCCATAAAATCTCCAGTTTAAAATCTCCCATTCTTATTATTCTAAAACAAAGAGATTAGACAGTTTAGTGAAAATAAAGTTGTGACTTGAAGGTGCTAAGTTTGTAAGGGCAATATCAGTATAATTAATAAGTAAAACAGCAGTAACCACACTACAGAGATAAAAAAACAAAACTCACAGTAATGTGAAGAGTGTATGAGTATATCACTAAGTTCCACAGCAAAATACGTCACAGTAATAAGCATTGTGGTGTAACACAGAGCATTACAGCTATAAACATATGTTTAGAGACTGCAGTTTGTGATGTAGTGTAGGTGTGTAAATAGGCAAGTTGTGTTTGTGGTGTATTTTGTGTGTCTAGGGGCTATATGAAAGGTGAGGTAGTGCTTCAATTCGTGGGGGCATTGCATTTGTGACTAGATGAGTGCGGTAGGTGACATGACATGTGACTATCTTGTATGTATGACGAAGTGGATGGGTAGGTGACTGGGAGGCAAGGTGACAGCATTGGATTGCAGAATTATGAAGATATGCATATGTGGGATTAAAATGGAGGTTAGGTTGGGGTTGAGTGACAGAGTAGGGGTTAACTGACTGGTGAGGGTGTACATAAATAGGATATAAGGTATTGGTGAGGTGGCATATAAAGACGCCAGTGCAATAGCAATACTTATTTTAGTGCCCCTTTATTGAGTGACCATGGTGCACAGCATTTTTTTGACTACTAACACCATTCTTTGTGTTACCTTTTGAAATATCGCTGTAGGCTTTGGTAAGTTAAATAAAGGGATAGTGATGCAGAAATTATGTGCTAGAGCAGGGCTTGACAAATTTGCTTTGAATCTAGAAGCCAGCTAAAAAAAGTTAGGGGCCAGATTTTTTTAAACTAACAAAGCACAGTGCATCCAATGCTGCATAATAAAACCTCTAGCGGCTGTCACTCAGACAGCCACTAACGGTGCTCCCTAGTGAAGTGCTGCAAAGTTCAGCGTCTCCACACTTTGCATGGTGGTGCTGAACTTCCCCATACAGATGCATTATTATTATTATTATTATTATTTATAAAGCCCCAGCTTATTATGCAGTGCTTCACAATATTATGAATGGATGGAAATTTAACAATAAATGAGAGTTACAAAATGATACAGGACCAATAGATAGATGAGGACCCTATGCAAACGAGCTTACATTCTAGAGGCGGTGGGGGATAAAAACACAATAGGGCAGCAGGAGGACAGCAACCAGAAAAGGTGAGTAGGTAGCAGAATTGGAGTGGAGTGTGGCTCTTTAGGAGAGAGCAAAATCAATGCATCTGTATGAGGATATGCTGATTGGCACAGTGCAGTGTTTTGCTGCCCATGAGCTGCCCATGCGCAGTAGTGATGATACAGATGTGGTTACACAGAGACATCATGGGAAAAAAAAGGTAAGTTAAAAACCCCTTTCCCATACACAGACAGACAAACACTCACTGAGTCTTACCAGGATTTGTACTGGCTTTTGGACAAAAGCTGCAATCTGCTGGTATGCTCTAGTCCATACTTTAATTGTTAAAAAGCTAAAGAGACAACTACATTTGAGGTGTTAATTAGACTAAAAAAAGAAATAAAACAAGCAAACGCTGACACTTTACAGTACACACAAACACATTGCAGTCACATACCAACACATTTTTGTTTTCCCGTCCATGCCTGTAGAACTGTGAGCTTATCTGTCAGTGTGTGTGTGCGCATACATCACTGTGTCAGGATGTACATCTGTGTATGTCTAAGGGTATATGTTTTTATGTCAGTGGTTATATGTGTCGTGGTGTGTGCATGTATCAATGTTTGTGTGTGTCAGGGTGCGTGTGTGTGTGTATGTGTCAGTGTAAAGGCAGAAATTTTAAATAACTATTTTTCTTCAGTATGTATTAATGAGGATCCCATGGCAAGAGATATGCAAAATGATTGCTGCAAAAAACTGGCAGATAACTTGTGATTGGATTACTCGAGACAAAGTGCTACAGCCATTAAGGAAAATTAATGAAAATAAAGCTCCGGGGACTGATGGTATTCACTCACGAGTACTTAAGGAGCTAAGTGGGGAAATAAGTGAACCTCTGTATTAAATCTTTCAAGATCCTTTTGTTTCAGGTATTGTACCGGAGGATTGGAGGAAGGCAGATGTCATTCCTATATTTAGGCCCTGTGAGCTTAACTTCTGTGACTGGGAAAATATTTGAAGGGCTACTAAGGGATAATATTCAGGAATTCATTGGGAAGAACTTTGTTATTAGCAATAATCAGCATGGTTTTATGAAACATAGGTCATGCCAAACTAACTTGATTGCATTCTACAAGGAAGTAAGTAGAAGTATAGATCAGGGTGTTGCAGTGGACGTGATCAACTTGGATTTTGCCAAGGCATTTGATACGGTTCCTCGCAACAGGTTAGTTTTCAAACTAAAAGAAATTGGTCTAGATTAATATTCTTGTTCTTGGGTATAATTATTATTAGCGCCATTTATATAGCGCCAACAGATTCCGTAGCGCTTTACAATATTATTAGAAGGGGGATTTAACTATAAATAGGACAATTACAAGAAAACTTACAAGAACGATAGGTTGAAGAGGGCCCTGCTCAAACGAGCTTACAGTCTATAGGAGGTGTGGTATAAAACACATTAGGACAGGAAATAGCAATCAAATAAGGTGGGAGTGAAGCAGAGCAGGAGGAGAGAATAGGAGAGAGCAAGAAACAGGTATGTGAGGTAGTCTAGGAGGCCATAAGCTTTCCTAAAGATATGTTTTTTTCAAGGCACTTCTTAAATGATTGAAGAC